AGGTGTCACACTTTCAGAGTGCTTCCGGTGTTAAAATATTGGACATTAATCTAGTTCAACCCATAGAAGGTAAAAACCATTTTAGGATCTGGGGAGATGGATATGCGGCGATCTTGGTCTTTGCATGTGGACCCTTCCGGAGAGGCAGCTGCCAGCGGTCCTGGCTTTCTCTGCCCCCGGGATGCTCTGTGGCCCGGGCTTCTTGGCACACGAGGAAGTGGCTGCTCTCTGGAAAGTTTTCTCTGCTGTCTTCACACGGTGCCTCCTGCCACCAAGGGAAGGGCTCTCATTTATGGCTGACTGAGTCCCAGCCATCAATCAGTACCTCTGAGGAAAGCAGCCTGGTGATCGTGAACATCAAAAGCCCATGTGCCCCTAGATTTGTCTCTTCTCTGGATATGGTAGTGACATCACCAAAACATCCCCAACAGCTGGAGCCAGAAAGAGAGCAACTAACATAACAAGATAGTAGACATGGTCTCCCGAAAGTCTGTTTCACACAGGTGTTCTGACATTACAAACACAGAAAAGCAGAGTTGATTTTTCACTTGGCTCCAAAGTAATGCTGTCAGGGGAGATTCAAATACCTTTACCTCCAAAGGTTTCCTCAACCTACTGCAGGTCTCCTGGTGTTGCCTCTTAGGGCTGACTATGTCGGGGCCTCGAATTATAACGCACTGTGTGTTCTGATCACGCATTTCCATCAAAGCACTGGCTCCCCGGTACTGTTCTTACTCTCACTAGCTGCTTGAGTGTCTCAGAATTAAGTGACAAGCAGAGCTCAGTGGAAGTGAAAACTAAAAATGTTTTTCTTTTTTTTGTGTCCTTATTGTCCAAAGCACATATATATATATTTTTAAAAAGTATCATAGCTTACAGGTGCTAAGAACTGCCATTTATCAAGTGGATGCAATCATAAAGTCAAGACAGGGAAGGAGCAGCGGGAGAGCCGGCAGCAGACAGACAGAGCCCTGACAGCGGCTCCGGAAAGACAGGATGGAGAGAGCTCCTCCGGTAAGTCTGGTTCTTGCTCTATGGGTCTCTCCGGCTTAGGAGAACAGAGTTTATCAAACTGGATTGCCTGAGGACCAGCAGGAGAGCTCTCTAAGACCTAGGTTCCAGGGCCCCATTCTTAGAGATGGAGATTCTGTAAATCTGGGGTAGGGCCTGGGAATATGAATTTTAATGAGCTCCCAGGTGATGCTGTTGTTGATGCTGCGGGTCCAAAGATCACAATCTAAGTAGCACTGCGTGAGGATCTGGGATGATCCAAACGCCTGAAGGATGCACAAGCTTTCCCACTGGCTAGCCAAATATACTGATCCAAAAAGGAACGATTTATCCTCTTACAAACCTGTTCTCTCCTCCTGCATCCCCACCTCAGGAGTAGCAGTGTCTCCATCCTTTCCTTATATGCCAGACACTCTGCCAGGTTCTGAAGACACCGCTTAGGAAGATAGGCAAGTCCCCACTCTCATGGAGCCTTTGTCCCAATAAATAAGGATGTAAGACAATTTCAGAGTATGACATGGGCATGGCAGGAGGTAGACAGGACGATGTGACAAACAGGGACCAAGGGAGGACACTTTTGGTGGGAAAGGTCTCTCTGAGTCTTGAACATTTGAGCTGCAATCTGAGATCCGAGGAAGGGCATTCAGGTGGAGGGAATGGCAAATATAACAGCCCAGAAGTGGGATAGAGTGGTGTGTTTGTAGAAAGCAAGCCCTAGTGGCTGGACCATAATGAGTTGGGGTGGGAAGGGAGGAGGAAGGGTACAACAAGTTG